GTCGTCTTCTTTGTTCTGTCTGGAGGCTAATTCTTGAGTAAGGACTTCGTGCGCGTCATCTAATGGTGCTGAGTCAACGATTCTGTTAATGCGGCCCCCTCGCCCTGAGCGCTTGTGCCTGATTGAAATTCGTCCTGACCGGGTTCATCTTCCTGTGGAATAGGACACGGCAGCGGAGGTGGCGGTGGAATAACAGCGCCGAACGTGTGTGCCTCGGCTGGTTGCGACGCAGGTTCCCAAGCTTCGGGCTCATTCAAAACCTGATCCCCATCATCCTCATATCGCTCTCGTTCGTCCATCTCATCGTTATACAACACGCGGCGAGTCGTGCCCAAGTCAGGTTGAGGTTCATCGTCGAACTCGGCTGGTACAAAAAAAGCAACCAAAGATCGATTAATACACTACAAAATGAATACAGGCGGTAAAATTAGCATTCACCAGCACGAGAAGCGGGCTCGTCTGCTTCTCTTGCTTCTTTGGCTTCTTCTGGTTCATCATCGACGTGGGACTGCGGAGGGATGTGGGCAGCAGGGGGAGGGAATTGATTCGCCAACTTCCTCGAGGTCCACGTTGACTTCGTCTTCGACGTCGAGAGGTTCTTCTACTGGTACAGGCGAAATAGGGACTGAGTCACGTCTAGCGGTAGGTGAGGGGATGGATTCCCTGCGGGGTACAGGCGGGGACCCCGCAAGTGGGTTAAATGCACCCATCTGGGAAAGCTTAGCAGCTACACGTTTCCTACGCGCTTCTTCCTCTCTTCATCCTGTTCCTGTTGCATCTGCTCATCATGCTCAAGCTCTTGCTCCTCTTCTTCCTGCGCAGGCGCAGGCTCAGGCTCACATGCATCGACAGGGACATCTTCCTCTTCGAGCGTATTCGCGGGGCCCACCTCGACTGTGTCAAGTTCGACACTCACACCTACGTCGCCGATCTCCTTCTGTACGTCGCCGATGACAAGAATCTGCTCTGATGACGGAACCGGGACTTGTTCTGGACTTTCGACTTGTTCTAGAGACGTCACTGTTACAACGGATGGTCTGGCCTCTGGTTCAGGTTCAGGTTCAGTCGTAGACTCAGCATCTGGGGCCTCTTCAGTAGTTTCTGGTGCTGCAGCAGGTACAGGGACGTCTGGGAGCTGGGTTGTAGGAGGGGACTTGTATGCCTTCTTACGTGGGGGAGCTGCGCGGCGTGGACCGGCGGGTACTGGCATTGAGCGAACGGACGTTGTGTTAGAAGAGGTATCAGCAATGGAGAGAGAGGAAGAATCGGAGTCCTTGCGTGTAGGGTCAAGGAAGTTATCTGTAGAACGTCACTAATACTGACTTTAGGGCAAAAATTAGAAGACTAGCCTGAATCATCGCCTCTTCCTTGACATCTGAGGGAGGGTTTAGAGCTTCCGCAGGAGAAGTCACTAGCACAAGCATTATTTCATAATACATATTAGAGATGGAATTGCATACCGTCTGGAGCTGAATCTGGCAGGATCGCTTCCTCCTCCTGCTTGAGCTGAGGTGGAGGAGTCGCTGGCTTCTTGGGAGCTGGCTTCCTGGCAAACATAGGCGGACCCATGCCGACTCGGGCACCACCAAGACGAGCCATACGAGCAGCGATCGCGGCACGGCGTTGCCTCTCTTCTTCCTCCGGATCTTGTTCAGGCTCAGCATCATCCTGCTGAGCCTCATGTTCGTCTTCTAGTTGAGCCGGATCAGGGTCGTCCGCAGCAGGGGAGGGGACCCTGGGGCCTCAATCACCCCGCCTGGGGAACGACATCATCCGCAGGAGGCGATACTGGTCGTGTGGTTTCCATTTTGGTTGTCTGTAGGCTTTGGGAGGATCGGGGCGGGGCGCCGCCGCCAAACGCACCCTTTCCTTGGAGAGCGGCCATGCGCTCCTTGAGACTCCCGCCCTTGCCGATGCTCTCCATCGCGTCTGATGCAGACATCCCAGCAGTCTTACGCTCTGGTTCTGGCGATTGAGGAGGTGAGGGTACCTTGGGTTTCCATGATTGAAGGGTCGAGGGCTTCGGGCGTGGTGCAGGCCCAGGAGTGGGTGCTGCCCCTTGTTAGCATTCTCGAAAGCGGCGATCCTGTCGCGCAGTGAGCCTGGCTTTGGTTTCGGAGGTGTTTCACTCATGGTTGATAGATTTGTAGATGGAGATGGTAGCAGCGGACTACGAGAGTCGCAACATGTTTGGCCGCGTTCACTGACACGAGGCTATCGATGACCCATGTTTCTCACGCTTGACTGTAAGGAAACCACAAGGAAACCATCACGAATCATGAATCATGCCAGCGCTGATCCAATCCTGTGCACTCTGAAAAGAACCTATAGGTGCAAAGCAAGAAGTGATACGAATCTACGAATTGAAATGAAAACGCAAGAATTGGAGTATGATTCAGAAATCTGGCCAAAGAAGATCTAGGAAGGAGCGAGACCCTAAGCCTGCGAGTATGTTAAAGTGGTCAAGATACAGAACACCCTAATTATCGCGTTATCGAAACTCTTCGTGGCTGCAGCGCGAGATGGTTCTGCCTGCTGTGACTGGCTAGCCACTGATTTTAATTCAATTTCTTGCTGGGCGAATTAGACCCTACGAAACAACTACATCAGGAAACCCATTGAATAAATAGACAAGGTCGTGATACCTGGCAGTAGGTATGGGAACGTTGTCAATATCTTCCTCTTATTCATCATTCATCAGGTCGACGTCATAGACCGGCAGTGGCACATCCGGCTTCTTCTTCTTCTTCTGGAACCAGCTGAGGCAAAAGAAGAGTGTATACGGTCGTGTTCCGTCGTCCACACCAACAGCGTCACCCTGGAAAAGGACGCGGTCAGATCTCACGAACCATGTATTGCAGAAAACAAACATATGGTGGCTTGTCCGAAAGGGACATCGACGGCTTCCTTTCGTCTCGGTAAACGCTCCTTGTTCTTGCCCTTCTGGTCTGACGACGGCCGAATGCCATCAAAGAAGGTACTCATATTATGCAAGCGAGAAGATGAAGAGCTTTCTGCATGAGCGCGTGGCAATGTATAGTGATTAGCGTGTGCACGAGACCTGTCGAGACGCTCGTAGTTCACAAAATTAGTGCGCCGCTGGCCAGGGATCTCCGACTGTAAGTGTCTGATCAAACAATGGACTAGTCACTGATCGCAACACCACCTACATCAAGAAGACCTTTTCTACACTTGATAGATAGTCAGTTCACAGATCGAGTGTTGGGTTATAAAACATACCTGTTGTTTGCCCCGTGACAAACCAGCCTGGCATGAGAGCACTGAGCTTTTGCGTGGAGTGAATTAACAGTGGGGGGAGTCACCTTATTTTTCTCGACCAGAGAATCAAATTGCGCTGCTGTAAGCACATCCTCTGATATCTCCCATTGCGAGATTGTGTTCAAACCACCACTGAATAGAAAGCGTCCATCGACCGAGAACGCAACATCACACACCTCATCCGAGTGCTCGTACCGTGCGACTTCTGTCCCTGTGTGCAGCTGCCACAAGCGGACGGTACAATCTCCAGATACCGATGCGAGAAGGGTGCCAGCCGGGTTCAACGTGATATGATTAGTGAATATATCTTCCTTATCATGACGGCCAGTCCAGGGATCACCAGCCTGTTTCCACGTGGAGGTATCCCAAGAGCGAATGGTAACATCATCATCACTACCTACTGAGAGGAGATGGACGCCATCGGGAGTCCAGGCGAGCCACATATTCCACTCATTGACAAAGTCAGAGTGGCCATTGAATTCAGCAAGACACTCCCTCCTGTCCAAGTCCCATATTTGGATCTCTTCTTTGGTAGCAACGCCAAGGTTACCGGACGGAGAAAATCGGACGCAATTGACCCAATTGCGCCATGCGCCGCACGGAAGGGGATCACCTCGAGTCTTCCAGGTGCTGGTGTCCCATAATATAACCGTGCCATTGAATGACCCACTGGCGAGAATGTCGCCATCAGAGGAAACATCCAAAGCTTCCACAATGTCGGTGTGACCATTCAAGGGACCTGCAACGACCTTCCCAGTCTTAGCGTCGCGAACCCATAGTTGCCAACACTCCGGTTCCTCGACATCGGTCGGGTACTCTCCCTCAGCGCTAACCACGTGCTTCCCGTTTCGTGAGATCACCAGTGCGCCGACGTCTTTCTCCACCTCCCACTTCATTATTTCCGTGCCATCTTCAAGCCTCCAGATGCGTATTGTCTTATCGTAAGACGCAGTCGCTATTCTCTTGCCGTCTGGAAACGTAGCAATGCAGGTGATAGTCTGCTCATGGCTTCCAAATATCTTGACGGGATCTTGACCCGACCCAGGTATTTGCTTGTCGCCTTTCGTGCTCGGTTTTTGATCTGGTTTGCTTGGCATGCCTAGCAGAAAGTCAGCGTAGGCTTAGACAACGACGCAGGAAAGCTACCTGTCACGACACTAATGGTTTGTGGTCAAGATGCGTAGCTGTGCAGAGCGTCTACTGAATACAACACATGTACGTGACCTCGTGATCTGCTTCTCAGCGTCAATGCGATCCTGGCGTCTGTGCACAGCACCATGCGAAAACGTACTGATCAGGGAAGGGCTAATTAAATATGTTACATATCTTCGCTCACCGAGGAGGGAGGTGTCACACGTTCAGCTCAGGCGAGGTCTGAACCTGAGAAAACGGAGACTGCAAGCGACAAGGATGTGGCTAGCAGGGCTGTGAAGGTGGTGAAACTCATGCGGGAGATCGGATGCGCTACTTATTGCTCATGAGGCCATGTATTACATTCAAAGCAAAGACGTTCAACGCACCGACGAACACAATGCGACACCGTGCTGTCTGACACGGGCAGTTGGGTTGAGCTTGGGCTTTCGAAGACCAAGTTAGATGATTCTCGGTCATGCGTTCCTCGAATCCATTAATTTCGACGCCATCGGTAGATACAGCCGCAGCGCATCTGTAACATTGTCAGATAGGCTATCAATGAACATGTCATGAATCATACCTATAAACCGAGTGCCACGAAACACAAATCATCGTCAAGTTCCGAACGCAATTGAGAGGAAAGACATTCATCTGCAAATCTGATCTGAAGTTGACAGAAATACGCACGTAGGTGATCACATATGTCACAAATGACTATCTAGGTGATATATGAGTATTGCCACTTGAACGAAAGAGAAAACTGACTGGCAGTGGATCAACGCCACGTCTCCTCTCCGCCAAGCATATCTCCCACTTCGTGTCACATCTGAAAACAGTCAACAAATGACCGTAAGATAGTGGTAGAGAAGAGGACACCGCTTCGAGATTGGAAACACGTATGGACACGCATTACACGTCCACGCCTTTATTGTACCTTGTTTCCGAGGATATCATAAACACATTAACGCATGTCGGTCAGAACGGCATGTATATGATATAATATTGCCAACGATGTAGTAGAAAGAAGACTTCGGTACACCTTCGAAATCGATTTCACGCTGCATTGTAATTCGTTGGCAGCCAAAAAGCACGCACACGTAGTCATCGACTGATCTGTAGACCTGATCTGTATCTTATTGAAATAATTTGAAATACGCGCGTGGATAACTTGCGCTGCGGGTTGTGAATGCCAATGAGTATTGCCATTTGAACGAGAGAAGGAACTGACCGGGAATAGAATCACGGCAAGGCACCTCTTGCCAAAATTAATTCATGATGGTATTCCGCCATATGCACGGCTACAAGGGTGGTCTGGAGCTAGTGGAACTGTCCCCTCCAGCGATTTTGTTCACGATGAACGTTCATCCGGCATGTCCGAGTCAATTTCACGACACCAGGCAAGTTAAACTTGAGTGTTCTTGTTACGGTTATCCTTTTTCCCCTAACCCTTGTCACAGTCACGCTATGTCACACCCTTCACATCTTGTCACAGTCACGCTATGTCATACCCTTCACATCTTCACATATCACACTTCTATTATGTGTACTTCTAGAACATTCTATTGTACGATTCTCTTTCTCTTTTTCTCATTGGCTCATTACTATTGAAGCTCCGCTTCTATTATTCATTCGCCTCTTCAATACCCTTATATATACCTCGTACCTACCCTTTGTACTCTTTAACTTGATCTACGCAGACCAGGGCCTGCAATATCACTGCTTTACTCGCACGACTCTAACACTAGGGTGTTAGCTAGACTTTCGACTACTTTTGATTACTGCTAAGACGTCTGACGACGCTGAGCATAACAAAAGGTCAAGTTAATCTTCAGACCGCCCGTCCTCGACTACGGCGACCAACACGAAACTTTGACTTAGCATCCGCGGTTCTTACTGCTGTTGCTACCCGATAAGTCAAAACGGCTACCCACAGAAAACAGTACCCCGGTTTCACCTGGGACGCATTATTAGGAACTTGGACCGCTCCAGACTCTGATGGCACCGTATTCACCATCCATCAGTGGAGAAGCTTTAGAAATAGCACAGCTAAGAAAGGAACACATTGGGACTTCGATACCCAATCCTACGTCGACAACGACTTCCCAGAAACACCACTCGCCTCACCTATCTCCGCACAAGCACCTCTTCCCCCAGCCCGCGCACCACCTCCCCCAGCCCGAGCACCACCTCCCCCAGCAGAACAATCACCCCTAGATGAATCAGACTCTGAACCAGAAGACAACGACGACATGGCCAAACTAATCGGCAACGTTCCCCCCGCCTTCAATGGTGACACCCGCGCCGCCAAAGGATGGCTCTTACAGGTAGAAGCCTACCTTGATATCAACGACTCTGTCTATACCATCGACAAACAGAAGATCGTATTCATCCTATCCCTCATGACCAAAGGAGAAGCCGCTAAATGGGCGGAAGGACAGTTCAAAGATGCTAGCACTACCAAAGTGTACGGAACTTTTGAAAACTTCCTCGAGCAATTCAAGAAGACGTTCCATCCAAAGAACGTCGTGGACACAGCGATCTGTCACATCTCCACCTTGAGACAGACAGGAAGCGTTCCTGCCTATACATCCATATTCCGCACCATCTTAGCAGACACAGGCATCACAGAAGAAAGTATGAAAATCATGTTCTTTAGAAACGGACTTAAGAAAGAAATCGTAAATACCATACTTAACTTCGAAAACGTACCTACTACCATTGACACGTGGCTTGAAAAAGCCTTAGAAGTAGAATCTCAACGTAGCCTTACAGCACCTACCAACTACAGATCCCGAGACCCCTACGCTATGGACATAGATAGGGCAGAAGTAGAAGGAGAGGAAGAGGAGAGACAAGTAAAGAAAGCCTACCTAACCCCACAGGAGAGAGAACGCAGGCGCAAAAACGGCCTCTGCTTCAAATGTGGCAAGAAGGGACTAATCAAAGACTGCCCCAACCATCCCGCATTCACGCCTCGCACCCAAACTGCCGCCAAGAAGGCGAGCAAAGATGATGATGAAGACTACAAAGAATTCTTGGAGTGGAAGGCGTTCAAAGCGCGCCAGGCAAAGAAATCAGAGGAGAAGGATTTTGCCTAGAGGAGACTGAACCGGCATCAGTATCTCCTAGAATCGGACTAGTAGTACAATTGATTGGCGACTCTAATTCTATATGATTGCCTTTGATGTTTGACTCTAGCATTGCCGAAGCCGCAGCTCTAATCGACTGTGGAGCAGAAGGGGAATTCATCGACTGGATGTTCATACGACGGAACTCCATCCCCACAGAAAAACTCAGAAAACCAATAAAAGTTAGAAATGTTGACGGGACACTCAACAAACAAGGTCAGATCACACATGCTTGTAACTTATCGTTCTGAATCAAAGGAATTCACATGGAAAGATGTTTCCTAATAACCTCTCTAGGAGGAGAGGACGTCATCCTGGGAATATCCTGGCTAAAGAAAGAAAACCCCCAGATAGACTGGACAAAAGAAGAAGTAACCCTTAGAGAACGAAGCGCGTACATCGAAGAAGTCGAAGACGAAGAAGAACAAACATTCTTCGACACTCAGGAAACCCTAGAAGACGAATGGGACCCTGCTACGGAAAGTATTCCGTATTCCTCCGAAATTCCCAAACTCCTTGACCCCGAACCTGCTGAATTCTTGATCGCATACTGCAAAGGCGATCACGTCATTGGAACCTATGAAACCTTTGAATCCCCTCTCACAGATGAACACATCCCCGCCAACCACCGATATTTCTCTTCCCGTGGAACCTTAGTCAGGAAAGCCGACAATATCTCTCAAACCCTCGCCCAAGACGCCGCTAAACCAAAGAAAATGTTCGAAGAACTCGTACCCAAGATCTTCCGAAAATACAAGGACATATTCGGAGAAGTAGCTAATGGAACTCTCCCACCAGAACGCAAGTTTGACCACAAAATCGATCTGAAAGATACCTTTGAACCGCATAAATGCAAAATTTACCCACTTAACCCCGCAGAAGAAAAGGCCATGAACGATTTCATTGACGAAAACCTTGCTAAAGGTACCATCATCCCCTCCGAATCTCCACAATCATCTCCATTCTTCTTCGTCGGGAAGAAAGACGGTTCCCTCCAACCCTGCCAGGACTATCGCTACTTGAATGAACATACAGTTAAGAACAATTACCCGCTTCCACTAATCTCCGATCTTATAGATAAGCTAAAGAACGCGAAGATCTTTACCAAGATGGACATCCGATGGGGATACAACAATGTTCGACTTAAGAAAACTGATCAATGGAAAGCAGTGTTTGCAATGGCTAGAGGACTCTTCGAACCCACGGTAATGTTCTTCGGCATGTGTAATTCCCCCGCCACCTTCCAATCTATGATGAACGATACATTCAGAGATATGCTACAGGAAGGATGGCTAATCATTTACATGGATGACATACTAATTTTCTCAGACGACTTCGAAACCCATCAGAAACAAACACACCGCGTATTAGAAAGACTTCGAGAAAACCGCTTATACCTCAAACCAGAGAAATGCACGTTCAACGTAGAAGAAATAGAATATCTCGGTATGATCATCAAACCTGGATCGGTAGCTATGGACCCGGCCAAACTAAAGGGAATCTCCGAATGGGAAACCCCGAAGAAAGTCAAAGAAGTCTGATCTTTCCTCGGATTTGCCAACTTCTACCGTCGTTTTATTGCTGACTACTCAACCATTGCTCGTCCCCTGATAGATCTTACAAAGAAAGATATGCTGTTCGAATGGACCAATGAACGCAACTCCACATTCCGAAAGTTGAAATCCATCTTCACCTCCGCCCCCATTCTCCAAATCCCTGATCAACACTCTCCATTCGCTATCGCCACTGACACCTCCTTATACGCCACCGGCGCAGTACTCCTCCAAAAAGACCCTAATGGCGAATGGCTTCCCTGCTCATATCTTTCCCAATCCTTTGCCCCGCCGAAAGAAATTATCAGATCTATGACCGAGAACTCCTCACCGTCATTCAAGCGCTCAAAGCTTGGCGCCATTATCTCTTAGGTTCCCCCTTCCCAGTAGAAGTTCAAACTGATCATAAGAACCTCACTTACTTCCATAACATGCAAGATCTCAATAGACGCCAAGCACGTTGGCAAACATTCCTCTCTCAATTCGATATCCGTTTCAAGTTTGTACCAGGAAAAGACTTAACTATCCCAGACGCCCTTTCCCGTAGACCGGATCACCTTCCAGACAATAGTGTCGAAAAGGACAATTCTAGTATACAACTCCTTCCTAATTATATGTTCATCAATTCCGCTTCCCTTTCAGAACAATTACGTATCTCTTCTTCCATTGACCCAGTAGTTCAACTAGCGCTTGACGCGCTCCAGAACCCAACCATTCCTCCCCCTCTCTGATCATCATTATCTGATTGGAAACTCTCCGATGGTATTCTTACTTACAAAGGACTCACTTATGTACCCCCAGGCGACCTTCGTCGCGATATTACCTCCCTTCATCATGACTCCCCTACAGCAGGCCATCCAGGACGATATAAAACCCAGGAACTCCTCTCAAGAGACTACTGGTGGCCTGGCCTATCCACGTTCGTAAAGAACTTCGTCGACAGTTGTAGCATCTGCCAACAGAACAAAGTAAACACGCACCCGTCAAACCCATCCCTATACCCCATTCCCGCTCCAATATCCAACTGACCCTTCGCCCATTGCTCTACTGACCTCATAACTGACCTCCCACCTTCCAATGGCTATGATAGCATCATGGTCGTGGTAGACCATGGCCTTTCGAAGGGGGTAATTCTCACTCCATGCAACAAAACGATAGACGCTGAAGGCGTCGCAAATATTTTCTTCTCCAAAGTATTCTCTAGATACGGACTTTACGATAAGATTATCTCTGACTGAGGACCCCAATTTGCCTCTAGATTCCAGATCGAACTCGGAAAACTCCTCGGATACAAGAACTCCCTTTCCACTGCGTTCCATCCCCAGAGTGATGGAGAAACCGAACAAGTTAACCAAGAACTCGAAGTTTACCTCTGGATCTTCTGCGCAAATGATGCGACTGGCTGGGCATCCATGCTCCCTCTCGCAGAATTCGTCCATAACTCCCGTCATCATTCCGCTCGCGGAACATCACCATTCTATCTCATGATGGGTTATCACCCCAAACACCTTCCCGACCTCCATCCAAAGAGCGACATCCCAAACGTCGAACAACGTCTTATCATCCTCAACAAAGCATGTGACGAAGCTTTAGCCGCTCATGAATTAGCGCGCAATACTATGAGACAACGAATCACATCTAAATTCGTACCATTCAACAAAGGCGATAAAGTATGGCTTCGAATCCAAAAACCTTCATCTGGGATACCCCAACCATAAACTCGCACCCAAACGGGAGGGACCATTTACCATCTCCAATGTCTTATCCCCAGTCACCTACCGCCTCTTACTCCCTGCGCAATGGCGCATACACCCAGTCTTCCACGCCGCCCTCCTATCCCCTTGTAAAGAAAACGACACTCATGGTCCAAACTTCGTCGCACCACCGCCTGACCTAATCGACGGCAAAGAGAACAAGAGATAGAGGCCATCGTAGGACATCGAGGTTCAACCTCACGCAGATACTATAACGTAAAATGGAAGGGATTCCCGAGTTCCGAGAACGAATGGATGACAGAAAGACAAATGGGTAATGCTTCCGATATTCTTTCCTCTTATAAACGCACACATCATCTTTAAATATTCTTCGTAGTACTCAGATTATCACCTAAAACGGGGGTAATGTTACGGTTATCCTTTTTCCCCTAACCCTTGTCACAGTCACGCTATGTCACACCCTTCACATCTTCACATATCACACTTCTATTACGTGTACTTCTAGAACATTCTATTGTACGATTCTCTTTCTCTTTTTCTCATTGGCTCATTACTATTGAAGCTCCGCTTCTATTATTCATTCGCCTCTTCAATACCCTTATATATACCTCGTACCTACCCTTTGTACTCTTTAACTTGACCTATGCAGACCAGGGCCTGCAATATCACTGCTTTACTCGCACGACTCTAACACTAGGGTGTTAGCTAGACTTTCGACTACTTTTGATTACTGCTAAGACGTCTGACGACGCTGAGCGTAACAGTTCTGCTTGTTCCGTCAGTCGGTTGATGGAAGAAAAACTTTCGAGTGTTGACGAGATTGAAAGTAACATCTCTGGGATTGATGCGGAATGACGTGGATAGTGGACACTGTTAGGGTAAACGGCTATCTTCATTCTATTGTGGTCTGCCTAAGGGAGACTACTGTTAGGGTGATCAATTGATGATGAGTGGCTGTGCAGCTTTGTTCGGCAAAGCCCTTGGATCCAACCAAACAACTGCTCTCTCTGCTTCTGAAGGCGTCGATCTACGAACTGAAGTGAAAATGCAAGAATCGAAGTAAACATCGGTATCGAAGACTCGAAGTCCAAAGAGTTTGGTCGGCGAGTAACGCGGGTATTGACAATGGTAGTCAGTACAACAGATGCGAGCTGATACATATAATACGAGTCTATAACGTCCTTCCCCAATCCAATAATCCGACTCGATGCCCAAGCCTTCTCCCAATCTTCATAACCTGCACAAAAATGTATGAGAGTATGCGACATCGTAAGTTAAACATCATCCCATGTCGTACAGTACGGCAGACAAGAGGAGCACGGGACGAGATTTGCTGCCCTTGCGGCAACTCCACAGCTTGCATTAACTTGGAATCTGCGCTCTATTCAGAAGGCGAATTATTCGCGTCATCCAATGAAGCGCAGCGGCCGTTCTGTCATTGTGCACTCGTCGGTTCCGGGGTATCCTTCACCTTGGCTCCGTAGAACCAAGCGGTATTCCTGTCGTCAGTTATGATAGTATTGTCATAGTGTTTCTGAAGCGCGCGAGTTGAGTTCAATCATGACTACATAAACGTGACAATGCTTACACCCTCCATGACGACTTTCGCATAGTGAGCCGAATCACCTCCATGAGAGGTGGAGAAATCGATCGGGGACCCATCGTTGATAACAAAGAAGCTGTCGATCAACAGTTCGTCAAACCGTTGGGTACCTGATGCAAGCAGAAACAAATACTAGAGTACCGCGTAACCACACGAGCCATTGTGCCAATCAACGTATGTGTCAGAATGCTTCGTCTTTTCGGCGGAAAAAGGTCTATCGCTGTCTGGCAAAAGGCGGGCACTTGGGGTCAGCAAGTCAAACCGGCCCCAATCTGTTCCAATAACAATGAAAACGAATTAGTGTCTGGCATGCTTGAGCCTTGGCAGCACTGAAGCGCGCACCAGTGTCGATTTCAAGTGAGACAGCCGTCTTGAAAACCTTAGGGTGCGTAATGATGTGATTAAACGCGGCTGAAAGCTGGTCCGCATAGATCGCGAGCACGGGATCGCCCGTCAACTTCATCAAATTCCAGAGCTCCTCGACGTTGAGGCTCAGCAAGGAGCTGGGGTGTTTCCCGGTTGTAGCTACCCACTCCTCATATTCCTTATAGGACGCGGGGTTGCTCGTGAGCTTATTGGCGATGCTTCTGTCACCGCCCAAGGCCAAGATGTTGTACTGCCAGGTTCTTAAAAAAGTCTTGTATTGGGCCTCCTCCATCACTGTGGGATCTATGATCCCGCCACTTGGAATGCCGCCGACGGCAGCTTTGACGTCTGCGGTAAACATCGTGTTCCTGCTGGATCTGTGTTTGAACACCACACCGTCTACCCCAATGATAAGCCCCGACTACAGATGTTTGTGGACAACTGAGAGACGCACTAACAGATAGCGGGCACCATAACTGGCCGATACGATGACGTGGGATCCGTTTAATGCGAAAAAGTCTTTGTACTTTGCCACAGCACTGGGATCTTGCCCGTCAAAGGGTATCGGTAGACCTCTTACTCTCTTGAGGAGCACCGCTGTATTGATTTTACTAGAGTATTCCTGGAGATTCACGATATACTTTATCTTTGTGAAACTGAAGAACATGTATTGTTGGTTGATAAGAAACAATTTTTGAGAGGCTGCTGCCATAGACGTAGTTCCGGTAAGTGCGAAGTAGCGGCTGGCGCAGGACTGGCGTCATTGCTAAAACGCAGCATCGGCGTCGTTGCCGTTTGGGTAATGACGAAGGTCGCTTTCAACAGTTTCGGACGTCTGGAGCGATGGAGACCATGATCGGAACGTCGTACTTCCTACCGTCTAGACGTGGAATGATGGTCAGTCACCATCTCCGGTGTTTACCATGGTGTACACACCAAATTCGACATTTTGTTGCAGTGTGTCGAAGTCAATGTTGATCATGCGATCTCCTCTCTTCACAAGTATATCAATCTGCGGAGAGTCAAGAGAGACCTGCATCTCATTCAAGTAAACGTACTGCGTTAACGGGGATCGAGGTTGTTTGGGTCACGTCTATGGTATAGCCAAGACGATCAGTATAAGGAAATACAGGGTTAGTAGTATCCATTGAGGGCAAGGCAGCAGAGCACATGCGGTACAGAAATGGGCTGAAAAAGACGCGAGAGGGTGGTATTCAATTGTGAACGGGTGCAGGAAAAACGCTCGCTTGACGATGTCAGTATCGAATCTCGATGAAGTTCAGTCTGCAACGCCGCCACCAAAACTTGAGGCTTATATAAGCAGGTGCTGGCTCCATCAATTAAAATCGTTCATCGTTCATAATATTAACAGACGAACGGGAGGTTGATGCGGCATTCATCAGGACAGAGATGACCATGGAAAGCAGAGATACAAAAAAGACAATAAGCGGACGAGAAGGTATACCCACGGATATCATATGATGCCTTGGTCTTCTTTTTCTCCTTGTCTTTCTTCTCGACCGGGTCAGAGGGACAGTCCTAGAGAGGAGAGAGGAGAGAGAGAGAGAGAGAGAGAGAGAGAGAGAGAGAGAAATTAGCAAGTCCGCTTCATCCACGTCGATCTCTCGGCATCTTCCTTTTCTTGTCCTTCTTGAGTGACTTTAATCAAGGGCAATATCATCCATCTCAGTCATCCGGTTTATCATCCATATCCTTCGTCATCCTCCATCACAGTCCAATGCGAGGCTGTCGAGGACCTTGCGGATAGCATCGACGTTCTTGGTCCGTGGTGCACCAGTCTCGAAGAAGTTGAGGCGCTCCTTTACTTGTGCATGGAGGGCCTCGCCAAATTTTGCACTTGGGTTATCTGGGTGATTTTAGTAAGGGGTGAATGTCTAGGGATGAGGGGTTACCTGAGTAGCAGTCTATCCGAGAGGCGATACAGCATTTATGTGTGTTATCACGAGAGGTTTCATAGAATAATGCGAATGCGGCAAGAACCATAGAATCCACTTCGATTATGCGCCATATGCTCTATTGTCTCGCATTGCGATATACTGAGATGGGAACGCGAGATGCCTAATATGAGGCCTTGAACCATGCGACTACACGCCTGTAGGGAACTGCAAGAAGTGAACGGTGTGGTCACGGTCTGCTGATGTTATTAGCGAGCCACTGCCAAGTTCCACAGTCAAGCTGCGTTGCAAACATTCAACCAGCTCGAGGATTTTTGGAGAGATGGCATGACTAGTCCATGCAAAATTGCAAATGTTGCAACGTTATTGAAACGTTAAATGGTAATGTGAATGCTACGGGGGAGTCGGGACCATATCTGGTGGATTACATCATGAACGCGACAGACCCGGCCCTAAACTACTAGGTGCTTCAGTCCACTGCCAGGGGGTGATGGGATAGGTATGTAAAGGGGAGCTTGTGCGCGTCGTTTGTCGCGGCATCATTGGCGTTGAGCTTAATCTGTTACTTTGTACTAATCGCGTGCCCAGACCATCGGCAACGAACCTACGACTTCTTCAGCGCCTCGAGCTTAATATCTGTATCTCCTCTTCTTGCATAAAATGTGTCAAGTCTTACTGCAGCCTGCTCTGATTCTCCCCATAAAACATATTCAACCACTCGTGAGTCATAATGCGTGGATTAGCATCACAATATCATCTGCAGCACTCCCAGTCACGTTCTCTCTCAAACTACTCAGCGTTACCCTTCGCATGAGCTCGGTTTCTTCCGCTCATAATTCATCCATCTAAGTAATGACATTCAGCG